GCACGCCTATCTTCGCCTCATTCTCCGCCTTCCAATCCTTGTACATGAAGTTCTCCATGAACTTGCAGTCCCTGCTCACCAAGAACTTCTTGGTGAATGGGTCCCAAAGAAGCCATCCCTTGCTGTTTTGAGCCATGCCCAAGTGCACGGCCCACACCGCCTTGGCACCAAGCTTGTTGTGCCGAAGATGCTTAGGCACGAGCGCCATGCACATGCACCCGAACACCCGAAGCATATCCACCTTTGGCTTCCTTCCTAGCCACTCCACATAGGGCACCCATTTGTCTGCTCCCACATGAGTCAAGGCTCTGTTCTTGGCCACACACGCGCTCCGCACCGCATCAGGCCAGAAATAGTCGGGTAGCCCGGCTTCAATGAGCAACCCGCGTGCCGCCTCCGTGATTGTGCGGTTCGCTCGCTCGGCGATGCCGTTCATTGCAGGGGAGTATGGAATGGTGAGGGAGTGCCGAATACCATTCTTCTTCAGCCACAACCCAAACTCCTTGCTCAGGAACTCTCCCGCTCGATCGGTGCGGATTGACTTGACTAGACGGTCTTGTTGCCGCTCCACCATCGGGAACCAATCCGTCTTCAACGTTTCAGCCACGTCGCTCTTCTTGGCCAGCACGTACACCCAAGTCATGCGGGTGTAGACGTCGACAATGGTGAGAAAATACTCAGCTCCAGCAGCTCCAAGCTTCAGGGGGCCCACCACGTCCATCACCACCTCATCAAGCGGTGCCTTTGCCGTTGCCTCCGAACTAGGGAACGGAAACCGGGTGAACTTGGCTTGAATGCACGTCGGGCAGCCAAGCACCTCATCGGGCTCCCCCTTCACACGTATGCCAGCAACCATCTCATTCTTCACTAGCTGCTGCAAGATGGGCAGGGCCACATGCCCCATGCGCCGATGCAAGGTGAGCCAATCACACTCCCCCGTAGCCGAAGTTGGATTGGAGAATGCCGCGCTCGCAATAGCGCCCCACATACTCTCTCCGTAGTCCTCCTCCGCTGCTGCCTCTGGGTTCTCCTCACCCTTTTGCTGCTCCTTGGTTGCTGCACCACTCTCCTTAGGTTCACTGAACTTGCTGGTCCCTCCAGGTTTGCTCTTCTTGAGCTCATTCTCCTTAGCGCGACCGTTCGCGCCATCGTCGCTACCGACCGCTCCATCCTTGGTGCTGATGCTTGCTGCCACTTGCCTCTCCTTAGGCATAGGGACCACTGGGATCTGCCACATCTCGTTGTAGACATCCCTGTCCTCATGAAGGTCCCAAGGAATTCGATCGCCAAGCCTTGCGGTGTAGGTCTTGGCTCCCTTCGAGTTCGTGTCCATGCCGGCCTTTGCCAACCGCCGCACGGAAATCAGGTTTGCAGCAAGGCTGGGCACCCAAAGCACGTTCTTGAGGCCCACCATCTTCCCATCAGCACCCTTGAACATGGCCTTGCCCATGCCTTTCACCTCTGCTCGCTGCCCCAAAGCCGATGTGACATGCTTCACCGGTGACGGCTCGAGTTCGGTGAGCAAGTCCGGGCGAGGTGTCATGCTATAGGTAGCGCCACTATCAATCACCCAATAGTCCAGGGGGTGTAGGGTCCCTTCCCCACAGCTGCTGGCTCCTCAAAGCCTTCATCCTTCTCTGGACCAGCCGGTACTTGCGTCGACACGAAGTAGAATAGACCCGGGTATCGATCGTCGCTCGGGTCCTTGTCGTTGTCTCCGCTCTTCATGTTTGCAGCTCCGCCACCGCGACCGCCACGGCCTCCACGGCCTCGTCCTCTCCCTCCTCCTGCTCCTCTACCCTCTTGGCCTTGAGCAGGGGTCCAACCATCAGGGAGTTTGTAGCAGTCGCGCCACATGTGTCCGCTCTTGTGGCAATAGTGACACTCGCCGTCGAATCGGCCGCGACCGCGTCCGTAGCTCTTGTCGTCGCTGCCGTAACCGCCACTCCTGCGGCCTCCGCCGAAGTTGCTGCCACCAAACCTTCCTCCCCCTCGTCCTCTGCCTCTTCCTCGACCATATCCACGGCCGATGCTCGCTGCCCCAGCGCCATCCGCACTCGCCAACTCACGGCGGCGGAAATCCTCTTCAAGGATAGCTCGCTTCACGTCTTCAAGCGAGAGGCGGGGCAAGTCGCGATTAAGGTTGATGATGAGCGAGGACCATGACTCTGGGAGTAAGGCCAGCAACTTGGTCTTCTTTTGGAGCTCACTGTAGTTCATATCAGCTCCCTCAAGCCGCGTCAACAAGTCGAAGAATTTCTGCACCCCTTCTTCAACCGCTTCGTCTTCTTCAATTCGTAGTGCCGCCATTTGCCCTTCCAACACCACCGCTACCGCCGCTGTTGCAGGAGCATGTACACCCTTGAGAGCAGCCCATGCCTTTGGTCCTTTCTCTGGTTCACGCTGGAATGGCTTGATGTGACGGATCTGACTGCTCCCCAACGCTTGCCCAAGTAAGAGATAGCCTTGTGCGCTCTTCCGCACCCACGGGCTCTTCTCCGGGTCGTTCTCGGGGCGCTTCTCCGTTCCTTCCATCACCTCCAGCAGGTCATAGTGGTCAAAGATGTTCTCCATCTTGAAGGACCATTCAGCAAAGTTGTCACCGTTGAACTTGTCAAGCCCAAACACCCTAGGCTCATCCCTAGGTGGGCCAAGACTTGGTTGCATGGGCGCCATGGCTGAATCACGGGGTTGGCCTTGAGCTTGAGCTTCTCCACTGCCACCAGCACCTCTGCCACCCCTTTCCTCAGGTCCAGACATTGTCGAAACTGCTCCAAGGGGCTCTGATACCACTTGTTATAGTCACAATAGGCTTGAATGTGCCTAAAACGAAAGATAGAGAGCACAGACGGATTTCTGCACAGCGGCTTCAAACGTTGATAGCGTTCTGCTCACAGCTGCAAATGACTTGATTCAAATTGGATCTGGAGCGTCTTCACGTCGTCTACAATTAGCAATTTAGATTGCACGATTTGATAAAGAATTGACGACACAGCGTCGGTTTGAACGAACGGTACTATGGCAGCCACTATAGTCTTAGAACACAAGATAGGAAGAGTTACGAGTTGGGAATGACTCCCAGCTCCTACAAACCCCAAGAGCCGAGGTACAGTGATGTGGAACAGTGCCACACTGTTCCCAACCACGAAGGGTCTCGAAACTACCCTTCACTAGGGCCTACACCAAGTGAAATGTTACACTACACAAAGTAATGTAACTATCTTCAATATCTTGAGGTGTACCCTTTTGGCAAGCTTCGAAATCACTTGAGGCTTGACACCAAGGCTCGGGCTCTTCATCACAAACTCATCCTTGAGTTCTTGATGGGTCTGCTGCACACACCTGCGACACGCCGAACGTTCGACACAGGACAAAATAGAAACCGCGCACGACAAAATAGAAACCGCGCGCGAGACACAAACGACCGCGTAACACGCGTCTAGCGATAACTCGCTATTGACTCGACACACACACTCGACATCATGACTCAACATTCACACACAATTATAAGCATGAAATATATATTATCCCATGCCCTCATACCATTCCATACACACACACACATTCACGCACACGGACAACAAGCCGAGTGCAAACCGTAGGGTTGCACCAACACCAGGACCGTTTTTTTTAGGGCCCACCAAATAGTTTCCTGCCTGTAGTGCGTTACCCTGCCCGTCGCGCTGCCCCACCAGTCGCGCTGACCTGCCCTTCCCGCGCGCCGCCTTGCTGGCTGCCGCGCCGTCCTGCCATGCCCGCGCGCCACCCTGCTGGCTGCCGCGCCGCCCTGCCCTGCCCGTCGTGTCGCCCTGCTGGCCGCGCGCCTGCCTGCCCTGCCCGTCGTGCCGCCCTGCTGGTCGCGTGCTGCCGTGCCCTACCCGTCGCGCCGCCCTGCTAGCCGCGCAACGCCCTGCCCTGCCCGTCGCATCGCCCTAGGACCCACGCGACGCCCTGCCCTGCCCGTCGCGTCGCCCTAGGACCCGCGCGATGCCCTTCTCTGCCCGTCGCGTCGCCCTTGGACCCGCACGACGCCCTGCCCTGCCCGTCGCGTCGCCTAGGGCCCGCGCGCCGCCCCTGCCCTGCCCGTCGCGTCACCCTAGGGCCCGCGCGCCGCACCTGTCTTGCCCGCGCGCCGCCCCCTTGCAGCCTGCGCGCTTCCCTGCTGGCCGCACGCCGCCCCTGCCTGTCACCGCGCCGCCTTCTGCAGCCCGCGCGCCGCCTTGCTGCCCGCGCTCCGCCCTGCCCCTGCCCGTCGTGTCCGCCCTCTGTAGCCCGCGCGCCACCCGTTTGCAGCCCGCAAGCCCCACGTCTGCATTCCCTGAGGCGCCTGTCTGCAGCCTGCGCACCGCCCGTCTGCAGCCCGCGCGCCGCTCTGCTGGCAGCGCGCTGCCCTCTGCAGCCCGTGCGCCGCTTGCGGAGATAACTAATACAGCGGGAGCTAGACTACGGGCTAGGCACGGGTGCTCGTGTGATCTCTGCGTTCGTTGGTCCTTAGTCGTTTTCCTAGTGCACATACAGCTTGCTAGTTCACGGGGAGAATTGGCAAGAGTTTCACAAGAGAAAGTTGACAACAGTAGTACAATGAAGTTGGCATGGCAAGACTACATCAGAGCTAGCATTCAGGTCGGTCGACTGCCAGCATAGCATGGTCGACCGCGTTCCAGCACGACTTGGTCGACCGCACTCCAGCAGTGCAAAGTCGACAGCGTGCCAACGCTGCAGGTTGACGGCGTGCCAGCGTTGCTCCCGTAGAACAGCAGCGCACCTACTTCGCAGGTGCTCGTAGATGATTGGAGGGCTAAGCCTCGTCGTGTGATCTCTGGGGGACATGTAGAGCACCCGGTCGAGCTTGCTCTGCAGGAAGGCGTTCTTCATGTCGAGCTGCATCAGGTTGAGGTTGCGGACGGCGACGATGGTGAGGAAGATCCTCAGCGTGACGTAGCTGCCCACCGGCGCAAACGTCTCGTCGTAGTCGGCGCCGTACACCTGCGTGAAGCCCTTCACAACCAGCCTCGCCTTCTCGCGCTCGACGGTGTCGTCGATGTGGTACTTCGTCGTCAACACCCACCGGTTCTTCATGACGTTCACTCCCGGCGGGCGTTCGACCAACTCCCAAGTCCCCATGCTGATGAGGCTGCGGATCTCCTCCTCCATGGCGGCCTTCACCGCCGGGCCCTTCCAGCTCGCCAACGCCTCCTTCACCGTCATGGTCGAGATGTCCCAGTGGTGCTCGGGGTCGGCATGCATGTCGGGGTCGAGCTCCGGAAACTCCTCATCCTCCTCGGCGTCGTCATACGCCAGGTCGTCGTCGTTCACGTCGTACACCGTGGTGAAGGCAGCGGGGACGAAAAAGTCGGGTGGCCTCCGAAGTCGGCCTGACTTCCGGGGTTCAGGCGGAACCTCCACCACGTCACTCTTGGTGGACTCCTCGGCGTCCTCCCCCTCGTCGTCCTTCTGCACCTCAGTCGACTTCCTGGCCAGCTTCTCCCCTGTGGTCGGCTTTCCTGCCGACTGCCCGGTTGCCGAATGCTCCGTGGTCGATTTCACTGCTGCCTGCTCCCCTGTCGGCTGCTGCGCTTCGACCTGCTCCTCCCCTAGCGACGTCGGCTTCAATCCCACGTCGACTTGTCCCTCATCACGTCGGCCACCGGCGATGCCCTTGGCCGGCACCGAAGGCGACGGCCCACTACTCCCCTCATCGCCGGAGGCCGATACAGCTTGCTAGTTCACGGGGAGAATTGGCAAGAGTTTCACAAGAGAAAGTTGACAACAGTAGTACAATGAAGTTGGCATGGCAAGACTACATCAGAGCTAGCATTCAGGTCGGTCGACTGCCAGCACAGCATGGTCGACCGCGTTCCAGCACGACTTGGTCGACCGCACTCCAGCAGTGCAAAGTCGACAGCGTGCCAACGCTGCAGGTTGACGGCGTGCCAGCATTGCTCCCGTAGAACAGCAGCGCACCTACTTCGCAGGTGCTCGTAGATGATTGGAGGGCTAAGCCTCGTCACCTCAACAGCGCACGCACCAAGTCATCTTCGTGCTGACGGCTCCACCTGATCCGCCACGTCGACCTCGGGATACCACCACCGAGGTCGGACTCGCCAACTTCGCCTGGGCGACCGTCGCACTCCTTCGCAGAACCTCGTCACCCAGGTATCCTGGTCGACCGGGCAACCATGTCGACCAGCTGCTCCTGTATGTGCTCGTCGACCTCCCAAGTCGACGACCACACCAAGTCGACCTCACCAGGTCGACCACTCCTCTGGTCGACCAGCTCCAGGTCGACGTCACTCCTGGTCGACCAGCTCCACGTCGACCAGCGCAGTTGTCAGCCGACCACCCAAGTCGGCAACCCAAAGTCGGCGTCACCAAGTCGACGCCCCTTCTACGTCGGCGCCGACTTCCAGACTGACCTCTTGAAGTCGGCAACCTCCCAAGTCGGCGACCTTGCAAGTCGGTGACCTTGCAAGTCGGTGACCTTGCAAGTCGGCGCCGACTTCCAGGTCGACGTGCCACATCGCCGACCACCAGTTGAAGTCGGCCGCCGGCTTCCCAAGTCGGCGGCATTGCAGTGGCCCCGTGCAAGTCGACCAACCCCGTCGACCAGCTCGCCCAAGTCGGCGTCGCCCACTACTGCAAGTCGGCTGTACCTCCCGTACACCCCACCACGAAGTCGGCTCCGCCCAAGCGTGGACGGGGCCAACACACAACTCCCGTTGACACCGCCCTTGCAGCCCGCGCACTGTCGAAGAGAAAAGGCCCCGCCCTCGCTTGGGCGAAGTCGACCAGGCATTTCGGAACAGAACGGTGTTCGTTTTGTGGTCATCGACGACTTCGGGGACTTTTATCTGTATGCGACGAGTCCTTTGTCGACGAGATTAACTGGTCGAAGTAGAAGTGTTTCCTCTGCTCGATCAAAGTCCTCGTCTAAGAGGAGCTCATCGACGGAAGTAAAACGGCGTCGAAGACGAGCCTTTCTTGTAGACGGAATTGGCAAAATTGGTGTTTCGACGGATTGCTGGTCGACAGAAATTAGTTCGACGAGCGTTTCGTCGAGCAGAGTGATTTTGGTCGACCAGAATTACTCGGCTCCAAAATTCGCAATGTGCGCAAATTTCACTCAATCACGAAACAACAAATTTCGACCAATCAGGTAATTTCGGAAATTGTACTCCCTAGGAGAATTCGATTAAGGAAACTGAACTTGAAACACGTTTTTACTAACAGTAAAAACGTGCACAGCTATGAACGTTGTAAACCTGAGCAACTACCACCTCAGGTAAGATATGCATGTGTTTGTCGTTTCACCTGCCGTTGCTGACTTGACAGATTCAAGTGCTTGTCGAGGAACGTCTCTACAGGGTTCGTTGTCTTAGCTATTTGGTTCTCCTTACTTGCACCATAATCTTGTTCTAACAGCTTTTCTTAGTGAAACTATGCTTGAATTCTACTAAGGCATTTCAACACTCTGTCAAGAATCACTGCCAGAACTCCAACAGTGCGTCCCACGCAATTCAGCTCTCCCGTAGAATAGCATTCTCCGCACGCACTGCCCCTTGCAGCCTCGCGCGCCGCCCTGCTAACCGCGCGCCGCCCCTGCCTGTCCGCACGCCGCCCCTGCCTACCAGCGTGCCGCCCCTGCTTGCCCACGCGCCGCCTTCTGCCTGAAAGCGCGCCGCCATCTGCAGCCTGCGTGCCGCCTTCTGCAGCCCGTGCGCCGCCCTGCTGCGCGCGCGCCGCCCCTGCCTGCCCGCGCGCCGCCCTGCTGCCCGCGCGCCACCCCTGCCTACCCGTGCGCCACCCTGGCAGCCCGTGCGCCGCCCTGCAGTCCGCGCGCCGCCCTTGCAGCCCGCGCTCTGCCCACTTGCAGCCCCGCGCGCCGCCTTGCCTGTCCGCGCGCCACCCCTGCTGCCCGCGCTCCGCCCTGCCCCTACCCGTCGCGTCCACCCTGGCAGCCCGCGCGCCGCCCTTTGTAGCCCGAGCGCTGCCCTCCCCTGCCCGTGCGCCGCCTCATTTGCAGCGCGCCGCCTTGCTCTGGCAGTGTGTCGCCCTTCCCTGACCGTGCGCCGCCCCGACCTACCCTAGTGCATGCTCGCCGCCCTGCGCCTCCTTACTTTGCCCGCTATGACTTCTCTTCGTGGTAGCGGTGGGAGTGGTGGCGGTTGTGGTGGCAGCAGTGGGAATGGTGGCGGCCGTAGTAGCAGTCGTGGTGGAGCTGTTCGGTGGGGAGTTTCTGGCGGTGGCCAGATGCAGCTGCAGCGGCGTCCGCGCGAGACCGTTACGCCCCACCAGCTTCGTGAGTGGTACGCTAGTAGGAGTGGTGGCGGCGGCAGTAGTGGCAGTCGATGTGGAGCTGTTCAGTGGGGAGTTTCTGGCGGCGGCCTAATGCAGCTGCAGCGGCGTCCATGCGAGACCCTTACGCCCCAGCAGCTTCGTAAGTGGTACGCTCAGCGTGGGGCGTCTCGGAGTAGTGCTCGCTGCCCGTACATCATTCGCACAAGTGATCGGGCTGGTCAGACTTGCGAGACAGTTGGTCACACACAGTCCCGCTGCTTCTCCTGTCTGAGCGACGCCTGGCGTGCAAAATTTGGCGACGCGGCTGAGCTCACCCGCTAGTTAGAACTGCTTAGGCAGGGCGTGGATGTCTTTGCTCTAGACTATGATGCTATCCTTACTACCATGTATGCTTTGACTATTGGTACTGAGGGTCACTGTTACCTGTATGTGCCGCCCGACCCTGATATAGAGGCTGCTGCTCTAGGTGCTAGTGAGTCTGCTCTCCCTGGTACTGCGCCTGCTGAGGCCTTGCACATCTTTACGCTTGACTCAGGTGCTTCCCGCTGCTTCTTTCGCAACAGCACCACAGTTACACCTCTCGCAGCACCGGTTGCAGTCTCTCTGGCTGACCCCTCTGGGGGCCCGGTTCCTGCACATTCCTCCACTGTTCTCACGTTTCCGGCGATTCCGTCTGGCTCACTGTCGGCTCTTCACCTCCCCTCGTTCTCAACGAGCTTGGTGACTAACGCCATCCTTCAGGATGCTTGGGTTGATACCTTTACCCCTAGAGGACAGCGTGTGGCGATTTGCAGATGTGCACGGGTGGGCCGTCACCTGGCCACGTTCACTCGTCGGCCTGGGTCGAGCCTGTACACACTGACTACTGCGCCTCCTCAGGTAGCTGCGTCTGCGTCCGTGTCAGGTCAGCTAGCGGCCCCATGTTCGTGTCGCATCCTGTCGCACCAGACTCTCCTTTGGCACCACTGCCTTGGTCACCCCTCCCTGCCATGCCTCCGTGGCATGCACTCCCGCCTCATTGTCTCTGGTCTTCCCAGGTCTCTGCCTCCCCTCCCACCCTCGCCTGCCCCTCCCTGCCTTCCCTGTGTCGGGGGGCAGTAGCGCGCCGCTCCTCACTCCTCCTCGTTTCCCCCGACGACTGCTCCCCTGCAGACTCTCCAAATGGCGAGTGGGGCCCAGCCCGCGTCCAGGGACAGGCCCGCGAGCGATACTTTTTGCGGGTTGTTGACGACTACTCGCGTTACACCACGGTCTTCCCCTTGTGCAGCAAGGGAGAGGTCCCTGATGTCTTGATCCCTTGGATCCGCACTGTCCGTCTCCAGCTCCGCGAGCCGTTTCGCCAGGACCTTCCTGTCCTGCGTCTGCACTCTGACAGAGGTGGTGAGTTCTCCTCCGACATCTTGCGGGCGTTTTATCGTGGGGAGGGCATCCTCCAGTCATACACGCTTCCGGCCTCTCCCCAGTAGAATCTGGTTGCTAGACGTTGCATTGGCTTAGTTATGGAGGTCGCTTGTACCTCCATGGTCCATGCGGCTGCTCCCCATTTTCTGTGGTCGTTTGCGGTCCGGTACGCTGCGCATCAGCTCAACCTCTGGCCCTGTGTCTTCTTACCGTGTTATGTGATGCTATCATCTGCATTCACGTCTGTGTGCCTCCCATCATATGTTCGTGCATTGCATGCGTGGTGTGAGCGTATGCAAGAATTTCTGTTTCCTGTGGTTTGGATTCTCTGAGATTGTGTGAATGTTATTTGGCTTGAGCAGATATCTGAAGTGACTCCTCTGCTCAAGAGCTTTCCGACAAACCAAGTATCGCTTCAATCGGAGCACGAACAAGAAAGTTACGAACATTTGAAGTTCGTATGCTTTTGATATTTGGTTGTGGTGACTATGGGAAGTTGTGGGGTTGAATCCATAAGGGGTACAGAGTTTTGGGGGTTGGGAAATTCGTCCCCATTACTGTAGATGCTGCCAAGTGTTGTGTGATGCAATCATATGCATTCACGTCTGTCTGCCTCCTATCATATGTTCGTGCGTTGCATGCGTGGTGTGAGCGTGTGCAAGAAATTGTGTTTTGTCTGGTTTTTGAATTTTCTGAGTGTGTGCAAATGTTATTTGGCTTGAGAAGATATCTGAAGTGACTTCTCTGCTCAAGAGCTCTCCGTCGAACCAAGTATCGCTTCAATCGGAGCATGATCAAGAAAGTCACGAACGTTGGAGTTCGTATGCTTTTCATATTTGATTGTGGCAACTGTGGGAAATTGTGGGGTTGACTCAATATGGGGTACAGACTTTTGGGGGTTGGGAAATTCGTCTTTTCTACTGTAGTTGCTGCCAAATGGTTGGGAGAAACCAAACCAGGTTGGCAAGTGTGGCCAAGTTGGGTTGAGGTGGATTGTGGAGGTTGGGATAGTAACAAAGGTC